TGGGAGTTTTTAAACTATAGTTTCAATTTCAGTGTTTGTGATTGGTCTGTTCATATTTTCTAATTCTTCCTGGTTCAGTCTTGGGAGACTGTACCTTTCTAAGAATTTGTCCATTTCTTCCAGGTTGTCCATTTTGTTGGCATACAGTTGCATGTAGTAGTCTCTTGTGATCCTTTGTATTTCTGTAGTGTCAGTTGTAACTTCTCCTTTTTCATTTCTAATTTTATTGATTTGAGTCCTCTCCCTTTTGTCCTTGATGAGTCTGGCTAAAGGGTTGTCAATTTTGTTTATCTTTTCAAAGAACCAGCTTTTTGTTTCATTGATCTTTGCTATTGTCTTCCTTGTCTCTATTTCATTTATTTCTGCTCTGATCTTTATGATTTCTTTCTTTCTACTGACTTTCAGTTTTGTTTGTTCTTCTTTCTCTAGTTGCTTTGGGTGTAAGGTTAGCTTGTTTATTTGAGATTTTTCTTGTTTCCTGAGGTAAGATTGTATTGCTATAAGCTTTCCTCCTAGAACTGCTTTTGTTGTATCCCATAGGTTTTGGATGGTTGTGCTTTCATTTTCATTTGTCTCTAGGTATTTGTTGATTTCCTCTTTGATTTCTTCAGTGATACATTGGTTTTTAAGTAGCAAATTGTTTAGCAGCAAATTGTTTAGCCTCCACATGTTTGTGTTTTTTATAGTTTTTTTTCTTGTAGTTCATTTCTAATCTCATAGTGTTATGGTCGGAAAAGATGCTTGATATGATTTCAATTTTCTTAAATTTACCGAGGCTTGCTTTGTGGCCCAGGATGTGGTCAATCCTGGAGAATGTTCCATGTGCACTTGAGAAGAAAGTGTGATCTGCTGTTTTTGGATGGAATGTCCTATAAATATCAATTAAATCTATCTGGTCTATTTTGTCATTTAAAGCTTGTGTTTCCTTATTAATTTTCTGTCTGGATGATCTGTCCATTGATAAAAATGGAGTGTTAACATCCCCCACTGTTATTGTGTAACTGTCGATTTCTCCCTTTATGGCTGTTAGTATTTGTCTTATATGTTGAGGTGCTCCTATGTTGCATGCATATATGTTTACAATTGTTATATCTTCTTCTTGGATTGATCCCTTGATTGTTATGTAGTGTCCTTCTTTGTCTCTTATAACCGTCTTTATTGTTAAGTCTATTTTGTCTGTTATGAGTATTCTACTCCAGCTTTCTTTTGGAATCCATTTGCATGGAAGACCTTCTTCCATCTCCTCACTTTCAGGCTGTATGTGTCCCTAGGTCTGCAGTGGGTCTCCTGTAGACAGCATACATACAGGCCTTGTTTTCATATCCATTCAGCCAGTCTATGTCTTTTGGTTGGTGAATTTAATCCATTCACATTTAAGGTAATTATCGATATGTGTATTCCTATTGCCATTTTCTTAATTGTCTTGGGTTTCTTTTTGTAGGTCTTTTTTCTTTCTTTCCTCTTTTGTTCTCTTCTCTTGTGGTTTGATGACCATCTTTAGTGTTGTTTTTCTGTTGCTTTTTCTTTTGTGTGTGTGTATCTATTGTAGTTTTGGGTTTGCTCTTCCCATGATGTTTTGATATAGCAGTCTATATATGTACAAGGTTGTTTTAAGTTGCTAGTCTCTTTCCCACCTAGAGGAGTTCCTTTAGCATTTTTTTGCACAGCTGGTCTGGTAGTGCTGAATTCTCTTAGCTTTTGCTTGTCTGTAAAGCTTTTGATTTCTCTGTCGAATCTGAATGAGATCCTTGCCAGGTAGAGTAGGCTTGGTTGTAGGTACTTCCCTTTCATCACTTTAAATATATCATGCCACTCCCTTCTGGCTTGTAGAGTTTCTGCTGAGAAATCTATGTGTCTCAGTGTGTTTCTCCTTGGGTTTATCCTGCCTGGGACTCTCTGCACTTCCTGGACTTGGGTGGCTATTTCCTTTCCCATATTAGAGAAGTTTTCTATTATAATCTCTTCAAATATTTTCTCGGGTCCTTTCTCTCTCTCTTCCCCTTCAGGGACCCCTATAACGAGAATGTTGGTGCATTTAATGTTGTCCCAGAAGTCTCTTAGGCTGTCTGCATTTCTTTTCATTCTTTTTTCTTTATTCTGTTCTGTAGCAGTGATTTCCACCATTCTGTCTCCCAGGTCACTTATCTGTTCTTCTGCCTCAGTTATTCTGCTATTGATTCCTTCTAGTGTATTTTTCATCTCAGTTATTGTATTGTTCATCTCTGTTTGTTTGTTCTTTAATTCTTCTAAGTCTTTGTTAAACATTTCTTGTATCTTCTCGATCTTTGCCTCTGTTCTTTTTCTGAGGTCCTGGATCATCTTCACTATCATTATTCTGAATTCTTTTTCTGGAAGGTTGCCTATCTCCACTTCATTTAGTTGCTTTTCTGCAGATTTATCTTATTCCTTCATCTGTGACATAATCCTCTGCCTTTTCATTTTGTCTATCTTTCTGTGATTGTGGTTTTCATTCTGCAGGCTGCAGGATTGTAGTTCTTCTTGCTTCAGCTGTCTGCCCTCTGGTGGATGAGGCTATCTAAGAGGCTTAGAAAATGGATTCTGATATCTTGGTGAGGTGTGTGGTGATGGCATTTGCTGCTTCAGGACCCAGGAGGACTCTGAAGAACCTGGAGGTAGAACCTGGGCTCACAGACTGCTTCTTTTTTCACCTGAGCTATTATTTTACTTCCTGGGAAAGGAGAACAAACCAGGCCTATTTATCAGAACTTCTCTGCCAGGATCAGGGAGTGGTGAGCATCTTAGCTATGGTAGGTGTGTTTGTGTATATGTGTGTGTGTGTGCCTACGTGTGTACGTGTGTGTTTAGGTGCATGTGTTTATGTGTGTGTGCATGTGTTTATGTGTGTGCATGTGTTTGTGTTTATGAATGTACGTGTGTGTGCACACGTGTGCATACTTGCACATTTTTGTGATCCCAGAGAAAGAGTAATAAAATCTCCAGCAGACTGGCTTATCCATTTAGCAACATCTCACTCTGAAACTGGGCTGAAGTGTTTGAAGCTGAAAGAAAATGACTATATTTGGAAATACCTATTAATATCCTACAAGTATTTAGGTGGAAACTGAAATGACAAGTCATGGTTTCCTCTGCTGCTGGGGAAGGCCTGGGGATGGAGAAGCGGTGGAGAGAAAGAAAGGAGAGCAGATGGGATTTTGCGATGGTCAGTGGCTTGCTGACTATCCACCTTCCCTGTCCCTGTGAGCACACTGACAGGGCCACACCACTGCCTCCTCCTCCGTGGTCTCCAAGTCTGTGGGAGATGCTTCAGTGACCTCAGCAGGACAATCAGAGGTTGACTGAGGAGCTCTAGCCAGCACTCCCTTGCTCCCCAAAATCTCTCCCTTACCCTGTCATCAAAGCCGTGAGTTTGTACCTTAATGTCTTATAATCTCAAACAGTTTTTGGTGTTCTAGATTCATAGCATGAAAGCTCATGGGAAGCATAACAACTTAATTGTCAGCTAGTGTTTTTTTTTTAATTGAAGTATAGTTGTTTTACAATATTGTGTTAGTTTCAGGTAGTGATTCAATTATATTTTTCAGATTATTTTCCATTATAAGCTATTATAAGATATTGAATATAGTTCCCCATGTTATGCAGTAGATCCTGTTGCTTATCTATTTTATGTGTAGTAGTCAATGGTAGCTAACAGCCAGCTAACAGCAAGGTCCCATGGGAATGTAAGATCATGTGCTTAGGGGGGGAGGGCAAGAGCGAAGAGATGGGAGAGACCACAGTGTTGCCTGAATTGACCCTGGGGAGGGGGGCAGTATATTGGCAGAGAGGACTGTGGTTTAGAGAAGCCTGAGCTCCATGTTGGGAGCGCTGGGGAGGAGACAGTGCTTTGACTTCCTTTGATAGGTTCTGTGGCCCAGGGATTGCCTCCCTCTAGGGAGTATAATAGGAGTGGGCTGCAAAGATAAGCACCAAGATGTAGACAAATGGTCAAGAAGCAAGTACCTTGGTTTCCCCATTGCCCTGGAGAACACTGAGGGTGTCTCTTCTCTTGCCATCAGCCCATATCACAGACTGTCTTGAGTACTGGGGCCTGGATAACTCGTGCTTGCATGATTGTCTGATTTCCCAGCTTGGGTCTCTGTGCTCTGTAGGAGCAGTGCTTTTCAGGTAAATTGGTCCAATGTCTTTTCCATTGGCAGATGCCATGGCCCACTCTGACATACTGATGAGTCATAGCCATCAAATCCCAGCCCTGCAGGGTCCAGACCCAGCTTCTCCTTGTTGGCAAATTTCATTCATCCTTGAGGACTCAGATCAGTGGCCCTTCACCATGAGCCCTTCTCACTTCTCTACACTTCTGTTGCACTTACTTTGGTTTAACATCCATCCTTGTCTTGGTCTCCGGTACCCCAGCCAGTCTGTCCTGCCTTCTTAACTAGACTGCAGGTTCTCCAGGGGCTGGGCTGTGTCTTATTCATCATAGTGCATCTTCTCTGCCTTCTCCCCACCCCAGAGCTCTCATCACAGTGCCACACACATGATGGACTCTTAGAAAAAGAGGTGGGTTGTTTTTTTTTTATGATAACGATGACACAGGTGTTCATGGCTTTTAGGACAGACTCTTTACCATGATTACCGAGGTTCCACATCAAGTGACCCTGCCACCTCTCCAGCCTCATCTGCCAGCACTGCACCGTTCACTCGTTCCATTCCATCCACACTGGCTGTCCGTCTGCTCCTGGAGGCTCCACTTCGTCCTAGCATGTTGTTCACTCTGAATGCGCCTCCCTCCTCTCCTGGTTAACTCTTTGTCATCCTTCCAGTCTCAGCCAGATATCACCTCCCCAGGGCAGCCCTCCTTCCCTAGTCTGGGTTGGGATCCTTTGTTCTGAGCTCTGGTAGAACCATTTCCCTTTGCTGAGTTCAAAGCTCTGGCCTCCTGGTGACTGCATGAATTGTGTGATGGTTGGTTGTCAGGCTGCCCCACTCAAAGAGCTAACAGTCCCTCATTTGCCCAGCAGGTGGTTGGACAAGGATAAGGATGATGGGCAGTTGGTCCGAGAGTTGCTGCCCAGCGACAGCAATGCGACACTAAAGAGTAAGTCGTCCTGAGGACAGGTGGTAGGTGTGCCCTGGGCAGGACAGACGCCCTCCCTTGGCTGCTTAGAAGGCAGTTGGGGAAAGCACATGCCCTTCACTCCACGGAGGCAGCACTGGGCAGGGTGGAGAGGAAGAGGCTCTGAGGGAGGATCTGGAAATCTGTCTGTCTGCGCTGTGCACACAGCCGTGTTATGGCCCTCAGTGTGGGGCTCTGACTCATGTGGGCCTCTGTCAATGAGAGTAACAAGAGCAGTAACAGGCTAATGTTGCCCATTGCTGGGGGTACCTATCGTTCAGGGCCTGGAGAGGATAAACACGTTTGGAAGGGGCTGTACAATGAAAACATTGTTTTCAATGCCAAGAATTATCCTGGAGGCCTTACAGCTTTCCTTAGTGGTGTTATTTCTTCAAGTGCCTTGGTTTGATCATGAGCATTAGACAAAGTTTAAAAGAAACATATCCAGAATCCTCAGTAATACCAACACCTCATTTCTTTTACAAGACCTCATATTTATCATTGATTATCTCATGTGAGCCCTGTGATAACCCCAGAAGGTAGGCAGAGCTGATGTTGTTATGCCCATTTGTCAGATGGGGACACATCTGGTGGAACTAAATATCTTTGTAAGGTCAGATAGAAAATTGAAGAGTTGGAATTCTACGTTCTCTGAATGCAGAATTACGGAATTTAAGAGCTGGGATGATCCTTAAGAGATGAACTAATGCCCCCATTAGACACACGACCCATGCCTGTGGCAAGGGGATCCCCTAGTACAGCCAGGTCTGCACCCAGCAGTGGAGCTGGTACCAGTGCCCAGGAGTCTGTGTCTTCCTGCCTTGCGCTTCCCACTCCAGCAAGCCCTGCTTTACCACGTGGAAAGGACCCTTCAGGCTATCCACTCCCAAGTCAGAGCTTTTGAAAGGATTTAGATGGAAAATGGTGTAAAGAAGAGGTCTTTTTTTTTTCTCAGTTCCTACTATATCTTTACAGCAAGAAGGACAAAAGCCACTTCCTCGGTGCCCTCAGGTGTCCCTGGAGGAGCGGGTCTGGGCCATACCCACAGGTCTGGCCTCTACCAGGGCCTGGCGGGTCTGTAGGGCTGTCCCCGCAGCAGCTGTGCTCAGCTGCCTTTCTCTGAGTCTCTTTTGCCAGTGCTGGAAGGCCCTGAGACAGCCATGCACAGCGGGCCTTGGAACTAGCATCACTTGCCTTCTCAGTGCTTCCCTCCTCATTCCCAAGACCCATACCCTGCAACAAACCTATAGGACTTGAGGTCGTGGCTCAGGTTATCCCAGGACTTGCCTTTTACCAGGCATTTGTATCCTCCCTTGTGGACAGACGATGAAGACCTTTCTAGGTCATAAGATGGAGCAGCATCAGCACGGCATTTCAGTTGAGAACGGGGCTGAACGGGGTCCACGTTAGGGTTTCCCTCATAGCTGGCTCCTTCTTCTTCTTTTCTTTAATATCTCCAACTATTTTATTTTAATATATAAACATCAATACACAATAGTTCAAAGAAAGTAGTTGTGATTATTTCAATATCATGCCAGAAAGTTTATTTGCTAAAACTCAGCTTCCATTTCTCAATTTTCTCAATTTTTAAAAAATGAATACAAGGTTACTTTCTTACATGATTGTGTAAAACACAACTCTCAAATATGCTTAATGATGAATGCCTAGTGTTTAATGCTAGGCTGGCTCCTTCTTAACTGTTGCCATCTTGAGCCAAATACATTATCTTCTGAAGCTCAAATTCCTCACCTGTAAAACCAAGGTCAGAACACTCAGCACCAACACCGTGTAAACGTGCTACACACTGTCTGCAGGGAGGTAGATGCTCCCTTTGCCTCAGTTTCTTCATCCATCAGACAAGAAATTGCATGAGGTGTTTGCTTTAAATCCTTGTGTCTTACATTTTAGTATTCTTTGCAAGCCTTCCTGTTCCCAGTGCATTCACACCCCGTGGGGCAGGCCGAGCAGGTATTAGAATTCTGATTTTGAGATGAGGGGGGCTGGCGGGAGCCACCCCCCAGTCTCAGGGTTACATAAAGAGAGCAAGACCCTGGGCTCCCAACCCCCAACTGAGCGCCCCAGCCCTGGTGGAGCAGCCTCCTGCCCCACGCTCCCTCCCGCTCACCCTGCACTAAACCCTCCCTTCCTGCCTCCTGCCTCGGGCTGTTCAGACTTCCGCTATCACATCAGCCTGAAGACTGGGGACGTCCCTGGGGCCAGCACAGATTCCACAGTCTACATCAAGCTCTATGGGGACAAATCTGACACCATCAAGCAAGGTCTTCTTGTCTCTGACAACAACCTGAAAGACTACTTTGAACGTGGCCAGGTGGATGAGTTCACCCTGGAGACCCTGAACATTGGACCCGTAAGTCTTCTTCCTGAGACCACGTGATGGCATCTTACCCGTTCACCTGCGTGTATCTGCACATGGATTCACACACACACACACACACACACACACACTCGCAGTCACACAGATGAACCCATTTTGAAGGAAAAAAATGCCCAAGGGCACAGGTAGTAAAGTACGTTGTTTTCCAGTTATGATCTAGAGCAGCAGAGACATGTGAACAGTGGTCAAGCTTCCAGAGTCTCTTTGGGGCTTGAAGATGTATTCTTAGTGGCTGTAATCCCAACATTTCCTTTACCTCCATAGCCAGGACTGATGGACCTGGATCCCAAACACTGGAGAAGGGGACTGTGGTGTACAGGGAAGGAAGAGAGGAGGAAAAGCTGTAAAGAGGGGCTGAAAATACTTCCCAATTCCAAACTAGAGTGTGTATCAGAGTGACGCTCAGGAAGCCTGTTTCAGTGTATACTCCCAGGCCACACCTGAGAGACTCTGCCTTAGAGGATGGGGCCCCCAAGGGTCTCCCTCCATCATGTCTCCAGGTGGCCCTGCTGCGAGGGGTCTGAGCACTTCACCTGGAGAAGTGTGGATCTGACTGCCTGCACTCAAGTGTTGGAGACTTTTCTAGAAATGTCTGAGCTGGGCTTCATGTTATCACCTGCCCGTCTCAGGCGGTGGCTTGTGGAAACTGAGAGGGTTACAACCTCCCCTTTGCTAACCCCTTCCCCTCTTGGTGAGCCTCACCTTATTTCAGGTGCTCTGGGGAATGATCTCATGTCAGTCATTTATATCTTGAAGGTAATGAGCTTAAATCAAGATTTTCCTTGATCAAAATGTATTTACATTTTAAGCTGAATTAATAATTGTAGACTGAAATGCTGTTTGCATTATTAAGGATTTCTGGCAACAGCCAACAGATAAATGAGACATCTGAGGGATGGGGGAGGGCGTTTGGGCCCTTCTTGGGTTTCTGAAACCCCCTCAACAAACAATGTGGCCAAGAGGGTGGGAGCGTGGTTTCAGGCTGCTGACTGCCTGGGTCTGAAGCCCAGTGTTTCCACGTACCTCCTGTGTGCAAGTTACTTCATCTCTGTTTGCCTCAGTTTCCTCATTACTATCAAAAGGGATCCCAATGGGATTGTTATAGCGTTAACTATGTTAGTAACACCCACATGCAGTAGTGTGTTCAATAAACACTAGCTGTTATTGACTGAACCATTGCTCACGTCCGGTGCTGGTTGTGGAACTGACAGGCAGTCCCTGCCATTAAGGTGCTTTCTGTCACATCAGGTAGAAAATACCTGCCCCAGTCTTTGCTCTGTCACAGTCCCAGCACCACAGAAAGACAACGAAGCTCTCCCGTGCCCCTTGGCACACACCCCAAAGGCTCTCAGGCTGTGTCTGTAGATATAGTTGGTCTCCTTCCCACAATTCCAGGGGATCGGGCTACATGCACTCAGCTGCAATACTGTTTCCGTTACCAGCTGCAAAGGTGCACTTAGTAGGCATAAGAGTGAGAGCAAGGCTTACAGGGACAACTTTCTAAACCTAGCCTTTGGGCACCAGACTCACGGCAAGCGTCACTCCTCCAAACCACCACAAAGAGGATCTAGGGGGTGCTGGAAGGGATCTCAAAAGCCATCTCATAATTCCATCTGATATTAGAATTGCCCTGTATACAGCATTTCAAAAAAAACATAAAAGTCATTTGAATGTTGAAGAGCTAGGTACATCTAAGGATGGTAACATGATCATTTATGCACTCATCTATGTTACTTGTGGGCAAAGATGAACATAAAATATAAAATAGTGAAGCAACTGAACTATGGAGTATTATAGGGAAAAAATGCACTTCAGTGCTAAGAGTGAGAGGAGGAATTGGACACAGAATGACAGAGCCCTAAGAGGTTGTCTGCATATTCTGTCACCTGTAGGATGGGTGTGTCGAAGAAGACATGTAAAGATACGTACAATAGTGTATGGTTTAAAACAAAAGAAAGCCAAATCACCAGCGTGGCTGTCAGAAGCTGATGGTTAATATTTTGAACGTTTGCTTTCTTGTGCATTCACCACATTCTTAGGAAGTCCACCACCTAACTTTCAGTACATAATGGAGCTTTCAAAGCTCCTGCCACACCTGTTCCCACACTTGTTTCTCACAATGTACCCAGGAGGTGAGCTGGGCTAAAGACTTGAGGACAGAGGCTCCAGGCAGGAGAGGTGGTGCCCTGGTGCCCTGGCTGGCTGCTGGCAGGCAAGCCTGGGACCCAGCCTCCTCCTGCTAAGCCTGCGTCTCCCAAGGAACTGGAGGCTGGGTTGAGGAGGGCCATTTGTGCCGGTGTTTGGGGGTGGGTAGGGATGGAGGGATGAAGGTTTCTAAACAGTGGCTCCTTGCTCACTTGCACCCTGGGTTTCCTTCCAGATCAACCGGCTGGTGATCGGGCACGACAACACAGGCATGAACGCCAGCTGGTTCCTGGGCAGCATCCAGATCCATGTGCCCCGCCAAGGCAAGCAGTACATCTTCCCTGCCAACCGCTGGCTAGACAAGAACAAGGCCGACGGGCGCCTGGAGGTGGAGCTGTACCCCAGCGATGTCGTGGACATCCAGAAACGTACGGAGGTGGCCATGGTGGGACTGTCAACAATGTTCCCCGTAGGGTGGGGCAGCAGGGAAGGAGGAGGGACTGTGGGTGACTTGGGTCTTGTCTCAAAGCGGGGAAGCTTCCAGTTGTCCCTGGTACCAGCGTTCTGGGAGGGAAACGGGGCTCCTTTTACAGATGAGGAAACTGAGGACTCAATGGATAAAGCATTGTTTTCGGGGATAAAGGCAGCAAATGACTTTATTAAGAAATATACTTTCTGGGAATTCCCTGGAGGTCCAGTGGTTAGGACTCCATGCTTCCACTGCAAGGGACATGGGTTCCATCCCTGATCGGGGAAACAAGATCCCACATGCTGCATGGCACAGCCAAAAAAAGGAATATAGCTTGTCAGCCCCGTGTTCGAGAGGAGTTTGAGAAATAGTCTTCCCCCCGGGAAGATTGGGGAGGAGATAAGCTGTTTATTCATTTATTTATTCAATAAATATACGTTGAATGTTTCTCTGTGCCAGCGCTGCCCTAGGCTTTGCAGAGGCAGCCATGAGCAAAACAGACCAAACCCTTGTCCTCATGGACTTTACATTCCACCAGAGGAGACAAACAATAAATACATAATATAATGCCAAGAAAGAGCTAGAAGCAAAGGAAGCAGGATAAAGGGTTAGCAATGGCAGGGGGTGAGGGACCTTTTTGGACAGGGTAGTGACATCTTTGAATGGAGGTGAAGTTCAAGGCGATCTGGCCACCATTGCACATGATGTGAGAGCCATAGATTAGGTAGGGGTCAGAGAAACAAGAGGTTTTCTAGAGGGTCAGGAAGACCGTGGGACCAACCCTGGTACAGACAATGTCCCTTCCCTCACCCGTGCGTTTCCGCACCTACCCTGAAAGCAGCCATCCAAGGCTCACTCCCACAGGAAGCTTCTCTGAGAAAGAACCCACTACAAACTCAGCTCTTTCTCTTCCAGAGCTCCTTGTGTCTTTTCATTGTGTGCATTTTCTGTCCCCAACTAACCTGTAAATTCCTTGAGGGCTGTGTCACATATATACAAAGCATATACATATGCTTTGTAATGGTACCTGCCAGTATGAAGAATTAACTCCTTCCCTCTTTTTATGAGTTAAAACTTGATTTCCATCATAGTAATACAGGTACTAGTTAACAAGATAAAGATGAAAAAGCAGGAGTTCCCTTACCTACCTCTTCCCTCAACCCATCCCCTTTCTTCAGAGGTAACAGCTTTTTAATTACTTTAGCTTTTTCCTCTGAAATGTATCTCCATATTTTCAATAATATGCTTACCAATTTCTTGATTTTTCAGTCATAGACATTAATTACTGACTTCCTACTATGGAAGAGGAGGATTTAGCTTTTTTAACACAGGCTCATGTGCATGCATGTGCACATGCATGCACACACACAGTCCTCTCCTTCCAGCCTTCAATAATCAGTATTTGATTTGTACATTATTATAACCATGTAAATATTATAACCATGTAAATATTCTTCACTACTGACACCTACTTATAACAATTAAATTTAATTTTTATACAACTTTTTGTTTTTTTCTGGAGTTAATAATAGCCTCATTTATTCATTAGCAGAGTTTTCGATATACCCATCTATATTTCTATATACCCATCTGTATACCCATCTATCTGCATTAGTGTGCTAGGGCTACCATAAAAAATATCACAGACTAGGTGGCTTAAGCAACAAAAATGTGTTTTCTCCCGGTTCTGGAGGCTGGAAGTCCAAGATCAAGGTGTCAGCAGGTTGGGTTTCCTCTGTCCTGGGTTTGCAGATGGCCACCTTCTCACTGTCTCTCACAGGGTCTTCCTGTGTGCATGTGCATGTCTGTGTCCCAATCTCTTCTTACAACGACACCAGTCATTGGATTGGGACCCACTTTCATGGCCTCATTTTAACTTAATCACCTCTGTGAAGGCTCTGTCTCCAAATACAGTCACATTCTGAGATACTAAGGGTTAGAGTATCAGCATATGAATTTTGGGGGTACACAATTCTGCCATTACACCATCTTATCTCCATCTTCCCAATAGAAATAAAATTCTTTTCATATGTTCAAACCCAACAGGAATTCTGTTGGTTTCGTCTCTGCACTCCTCTCCCCAACTCCCTGTCTCAAGGGGAACTCTGTCCTGTTCTCTAGCCTGCCATGAAGCTGTCCTTTTGAGACTTCCTTTCTACTGTCTTTTGGACATTCCATTCTTCTCTCATCTGGGTCAAATCTCCTGTTTCCTGTATTTCATGCCTTCCTCTGCTTTGGTTTATTTCCTCATTTTAGAGGGAACACATTCTCCACTGCAATGGAAAATTTGAATGTCTGCAAATGTCTTTGGTCTACTCTCACCATTGATCCATCATTTGGCTTGTTAGAGAATTCTGAGTTCGAGCTCAGAGTTTAGAAGGAATTATTCTACCATCTTCTAGCTCCCAGGGTTGCATTTGGGAAGTCTGATGCCATTCTGCTACCCAGCACTTGGGGTTTTTTCTCTCTAAAAGCCTATAGGATCCTATTTTTATCCCTAGCATTCTGAAATTTCATGATGTCCTCACTGCCTTTTGTGATTTTAGTTTCATCCAATCTTCTGGGAACTCACGGGCTCCTTCAGTCTAGAAGTATTTTTTAGTTTTGGGACCCTTTTGTGTATTTATTTCTTTGACAATTTCCACCTCTCTATTTCCTCTGTTTCCTTTAGAACTGAACTTGTAGTGAGTTGTTGGACTTCCTCTGATTTTCTTACCTTTCTATCATTTGTTCTTGGGAAATTTCCTTTTTGTTCTTCAGAACTGTCCTTGACTTTACCGTTGCTTTGGAATATTTTATTTCAGCTACCACATTCATTCCCAGTAGCTGGCTCTCGTTCTCTGAATGCTCATTTTTATCTATCTTAACTTTGTATAATCTTTGCTGCTATTGTTCTAAGAACCGAGAGAGGGAACTGGGTTCAGGGTTCTCTCCATTCAGAATGCCGGCTTTTCCTGAGTGCCCCTGTTGTCCATCTGCTAGCCCACCCTCACTCCCAGCTGAGGCCAATATCTCTAGTTCAACTTCTTCCGGCTCTCAGCTAGTCCTCTTGTTTTCAGCCCCCAATTTCTCACATTGCTATGGTAGTGGGAGATCCCTCACCTTGTTGAAAATAACAGTCTTAACTTGAAAAAAAATTATGATTTTGCCTTATAGCATTGCTGAGAGGGCAAGTCTTGTAATAGTCACTTTGAATAAATATGGTCCCATAGTTCTGGGAGACATTTTGCTCTCCTATGGGAAGTGCCCTCTAGGGGTAAATACCTGTAACACATTTCCACCCTCTAACAGCTCGATCAAGTATTACCACTCTAAAATACAGACAATTCTCTGTGTAGCTGTATCTGTTGATATCATCTGAAAGGTGCATATATTTAAATGAAAATTATAATTTCAACCCCTCCTCCTTTACTGAAAATAAGGAAAAGAAACAAACACACAGCCTTTTACTTCTTTCTGCACTGTGGTGTCTGCCCAGGGGTAGGCACACAGCAGAGGGTGCCAGCTGGTGTACTGACTAATCTTCGTCCCTGGTTCCAGAGGACATGTGTGACACAGAGGATAACTGAGCTTTGGAGTCTGATGGCTTGGGTTTGCCATTTCCACCACCTACTCAATTCTTCTAAGTCTCAGTTTGGCAATCTTCAAAATGGAAATAATGGGGTTTATGATATTGATGGCAGGGTTGGATAAGATAATGCCTAAGAAGCACCAGACACATAGTACAGGCTTGTGAAGTGTTTGCTTTGTAATGATTATTACTACTGTTATTACTAAATGCCCCATTTCTCCCCCATGTGCCCACCCAGTGATCCACTACGAGGTTGAGATTTGGACAGGGGATGTGGGCGGCGCAAGCACCACTGCCCGAGTCTACATGCAGATCTACGGCGAGGAAGGCAAGACAGAGGTGCTCTTCCTCTCCAGCCGCTCAAAAGTGTTTGAGCGGGCATCCAAGGACACATTCCAGGTGTGTGTGGGCAAAGCAGTGGGGTTGTCAACAGAGGGCCCAGCAGATGTCTGAAAGTGGAGGGATTGGTTCTCAGCCCTGGCTTCTTATTAGAATCACCTGGGGGAGCTTTAGGAAAAAAGGGCTGCCTGGTCTACACATGCATCAGTTAAATCAGAACCTTTATGGTGGGATGTGTTTTCTGGGAATGTTTCTGAATGCTTTACCAGAGATACTAATGTGCTGCCAATTCTGAGAACTGCTGGAGCAGGTGATTCTAATTTAGCAAAATACGGCGCGAGACCCTTGGTTACTACATTCATTCCCAGCCTTGGCCTCCCATTCTACCACTCACTCAGCCTGAGGGCAGGGCCGTGCCTCCCAAACAGGATACTGGGAGGCCTGGGGTCTCCCGGCTGTGTTCTGAGGGCCCCAGGCCTCCTCACTTCCCTTCGAGTAGAGGAGAAAAAGAGATGAGAGTGCGAGCATGTTGTTGACAGGAGAGGAAGGAGGATGCAAGGGTGGTGCCCCTTGGGGCGGCACATGAATGTTTTATGTGGGACATGAGTGCGTGTGTGCATGTGTGTGTCTGCAGACCTGTGCGTGCATGAAGCGTATTCATGCTGGCTGGTCTATGAGTGTCTGTGTGCCACAAGCAGCTTGGCCCTCAGCAAAGAGTCCTAACCCAGTGCCCAGCACAGAGGGTCCTGGCTGAGCTGGGCCAGTGTCACAGGTGTCTGGAATGTTAGCACTAAAGGGGGCCTCCTGGAGTCCAACCCCTCATTACACTGCTGAGGATGCAGAGGCCCGAGCGGGTCACCTCTCTGAGCCTCAGCTTCTGCTCAAACCTAGCTTCATAATACCTGCCTGGCCTGCTTCACAGCACCTGGAAAGATCAAAATAGTCAAAGTCAGGGAAAGTACTTGGGAAATCAAGTCATGGAGATGTAAGGGCAGGGCATCTTCTGGATGTGAACAGACTGCATGGCTGGATATGGTGGTGGCTGCATTCACGGCTGGGCAGACAGATGGGGGGGAGAGGGGACAGCAAGTGAGCTGGCTTGCAAGGATGCTGTGACCTGGAAAGAACTAGGGAGGAGATGGAATGTGCTGAAGAAGGGACTTACCGTATCCAGAGCCCATCTCCTGTGTAGCTGAGAACATGTTCCTCGTCCTGGGGGCCCTGGGCTCCATTCTGGCTAATAATTTTCTCACAGAGGTGGTTTTGGCTGCATTGTGGCTTCGTGAACCAGGAGTCAGAAGGCCCGAGTTCTCATCTAGGCCTGGGCTCCAATTATGGGACACTGAACAACTCATAGGACAGCCCTGGGCCTCAGTTTCCCCAGCACACAGCAGAGAACTGGTGGGACTGGGCTTTAGGGATTGTCAAACACTCAGGCAAGGGCCTATCAGCACAGGGAGCCCTAAGAGTGGCCCGACCGGCAGGAGCTCCGTGTGAGCTGTCCCCTGAGCTCTGAGGGGGCCAGACCACCCCTCAGTATGAGGCTCAGAACAGAGTGGCAGATCAAAGGTCAAGGACCTGATCCTCTGAAGCAAAGCTAAATCCACGGACACTGCCCTTTGAGCCAGCCTCGTGCTAGGCCCAGTGGGAGAGAAAAGCAAGAACGAACAGTCCCTGCTCTCAGGAATTCCCACTTGATGTGCAGACACCAGCGCTCATGGGCAAAGAGGGCATCCAGGCCGGGCCAAGCTCTGGGCCCCCTCCCCTCTGAGCTCCCAGGGAGAGGAGATGTGCGGGAGGGGCCTGGGGGAGACTTCCATTTTTTGAAAAATAACATATTTTTTGCTTCTTGCAAAATTTATATATAATTAATGCTGAAAAAAAATGTTTGGAAGGAGAATACAGAAAAGCACAAACTAAAAAAAATAAAGTAATAATAAAGCTCAGGAATGAGAATGAATAGGTTTTGGAGGTAGAGGAAGGAATGGAGGCATTCTGCGTGAGGGAATAAAGATGAACATATGGAATTTTTAAAAAAAAGAAGGAATGAGGGCTTCCCTGGTGGCGCAGTGGTTGAGAGTCCGCCTGCTGATGCAGGGGACGCGGGGTCTGGGCCCCGGTCTGGGAAGATCCCA